AGTCTGAATTAAAAAAAGAAATACATATTTGCTGAGAAAATGGCTGCTACTGAAGCTTGCAAATGAAAATAGTTTAAAAACATTAGATCCTCTGGTGTTCAAACTGGACTTAAATAAGATTTTAACAGCAGTTCATCCACTAATTATCCTATTTCTGAGAGAATATCAACCTTCAACAGTCAGCCTTCCTCTGTGAATGATGATCATGCAACTTATTCAGAAGTCATCTGAGTTAATTGAGATTAATTTCTTGTAAGCAGAGAGCTTGAGTCTCTTGGGGTCTCATCAGAATGATGGCACTTCTGATTTATACCCATGTAACAGTGTTATTTATAGAAGTAAGCACCTCACACCAAAATAAATATAATATTCCTTACTTCCTCTGCCTGTCAGCTGTTCTCCTCTGGAATATGTGTATGGCTTCTCTCCTTCCTGGAGCCTTAAAATGTTTTATTTTCTCTGTACATAAATTCAGAATTATTAAATGTAATGAATCACCAAAGAGGATAGCAATTAGCATGTGATAGATAAAAATGGTGTTGAATTCTCCATAAATATGAAAGAGAGCTGATTTTTTTTTATTTGTCTTTAAATATGAGTTTATGATGGTAGCAAAGGAATGTCTGCTTTTTAAAGGCTGACTAATGCAAAAATCTCCTTTTATAGACAGCAGTTATATTAGGTCAAAAAGTCATGGTCAAGAGCAGAAGAAATTCCTAGAGCAGCCATCTGCTTGGGTTCTGTGCAGGCTTCAAATTTTGTTGAGCCTGTTTTCTCCTTACCTCCACCTTTTCACCTTTAAATCCAAAAAGCTTGCTGCCTGGTACATCTTTCTTTCATATACATACAGACAACTGTTCAGAAGTGCCATGGTGCTTCTGAATGTTTCAGGGCATGATTTGAAATATCTGGAAGTCTGGTGTCTTTAGCTGTTAGGTTTAGAAGAAGAAAGTCCTGTGGCAAGGCTATCAAACTTATTTTTGTAATCGGATGCATATTCTGTTTCTTCCTCTGCTAGCTATCTAGTGGGAAACTGAGACAAGAGGAGACTCACTGAACAAGTGTTAAAGCTTATATTTAATCAGAAGATGCTGAACATTTACAGAAGAGGTAATAAACAGAAAAGACACTGGATTTGGAGAAAAGCAGCTGTTAAAAAACACTTCTTCAGAGATCTGAAATGCTGGGACTGAGTTTGAGAGAAACCGTCGGGAGAACAGCTCTGAAGAGCCTTTCATCAAAGGGCAGGAATGTAAGCTTTTGGCCCCTAATATTGAAAGACTTGGTATCATTAGAAAGTTACGATCTCAAACATATTGGATAAATAATCTCTCCAATTTGAGCAGACGTTTCCTAGATTCATGAAACCAGAAGCAAGGCCAGTCTTCAATTAGAATTTGAAGAAATTGATTTTAATGTAAATGTTTGCTGTGTTTGTATCACCTTCAGGAATGGAACAAATCTAATGAGAATGCAAGATATCAGCCTTTCTCAGACTTTAAAGGAACTCCTTTGAGGTTTAAAGTTTTTACCTTCATTCCCTAAATATTTCTTTCATTTCCATTTTGTTTTATTGGCTTGGAATTCCCACTGTAAACACATTTGCATTTGCCATAATTCTGCAAAAGAAAACAATCCAGAGAGCTATTCATCTGGTGGTGGCATAATTTGCCATAGCTCAACTGGAAACCAGCAGTTGAAAATCTATTCTGTAAAAGTCTTTTTCTTCCTGGAAAGGAATATAAAACAGTGCAAATCTCTCACATACATCTTGACCATCTGGGTTCGGAAAGGTTTCGTACTGGTATATTCCAGGTGTATCTAAACTCTCAAGTGCTATTCTGAACTAAATTAAGCATTTGATATCTTTCAGCTAGTCATGATTCTCTCTAATGTCCTCAGATTTCAAATGGAAATTAGATGCTTTTATCCAAGCCATTGGTAACATTTTTTGTCACCATGATGATAAACCTTGCTAAATCGTGACTCATATGAGTGAAGATGACATATATTTTTTCCATAATGGTAATATAATGTTTGTCTTTGAGTACAGTGAAGCAGCCAATAAACTGCACCAAGATATCCTAGTTACATTGACCAAAAAAAAAAAAAAAAAAAAAAAAAAGCCAGACATTCAAGTACAGGGTGAATAAAAGAGCAGTATAAATAAAGGAAGAAATAAGAAGCAATTGCCAGGCCCTCAATCCTAATGTGTGCTGTCTCCACAAAGTCCCATATGTGGCCTCAGAAATTATTTCTTCTATTTTAGTTTGTTTTTAAAATGCAAGTCATATAGAGAGGAGTTTTTCAGCACTCAAATTAATGTATAGAATACTGCAGTGGTAAAAGAAACTATGCTAGCAATGCATATGTAAATTTATTTCTGCCTTTGAACTCTGTTTATACATCACTGTGGAACTCAGCTGCTAGTATTTAGTAGCAATATAGCCTTGCTTACAGCATTTTAGTGCCAAGGGGAAAAAAGGGGATTTCCTTTTCTTAGCAAGGGATTTCAGTGAGAGAGGAAGAAAAAAAGGACTGCTCTTGTTGAACTTTCCTCACACATAACTTTTTTCATTGGCTGTGAAATGTCCACATCTGCAGCTAGAAACAAAAGCGATAGATTTCTGTGATCCAAGGTGATACTATTATAAGGGAAATATCAGTAATTCTGTGATTCAACATGCACTTTCCTTGTAAAGGAAAGCCAACATAAAAAATACTTCTCCATCTGAGATCAATAAAAATGTCCTAATTTTCAAAGAAATATTCTCATGGACCTGTCAAGAAGAGTAGTACAAAACTGCATGCTGAAATGTCATTGCCTTTTGGAGAACAACAAATTTTTCTAACACCCAGATCAATGTAGTGTAGAGTCTTAATCAATTCAGACTGAATTTTTTTGAAGTTCTTACACAAAAGCCAGCTGGTGGAAGTGTGTTGTAAAAAGAGCTATCTGAATTATTCATTGAGAATAATCTGTGTTACGAATTTGCCCTCCCACTGCTCCACCTCCTTTGCAGGATTTGTCTGCAATGCAGTCCTCATCTCTGTGAGTGTTTGGAAAATGGTTTATATTGATGCATTTTTATATGGCTCCAAGAGTTGCTGGATCTCTTGAAAACTATTATTTAAGTTAATTATATTTTATAACTTGCAGTGTGTGAATAAAACACTGTCTAGTAAATCATTTTATGGTATTTCAGGACACTGATAGGATGATTGAAACTTTTTTTAACCTAGGAAGTTAAGAATAACAGAGATACACTATTTGGTTGTCTTTGTGAAATGAACTGATGTATGATTGCATTTTCTGGTCTGCACTTGTCTTTTGCAGACAATAAACTGAGGTGGTTAAGTACATACACATACACACCCTAAGCTCTTTCCATAAGTGAGGGTGAACCACAGAGGCTGGGACAGGTCTTCTGTGAAATTATTGTCCTTCAGAGGTGCTTGTCCCTTACAGACTGGGTGTGTAAAGGGACTATGAACATCATGTTGAAGAGTTAAGTCAGGTTCTAAATGAGATTCTCTGATTTGAAATAATTCATAAGTAATATGAATATGAATTGACAGGAGACAATTCAATCCAGTTTACATTGGAAGACTCCTCTCTGAGGTTACCTTTATGGTCAGTGAAGAAACATAAGTCCTTCTAGGATGCAAACAATTTCATCCTGAGTAGACTTATACCATACCTTATGGTATAAGATGACTTATACCATAAAAGTCTTATTTCTCATAGGTTATTGTGATAGGAGCTTAAACAGCCTGCTCATATCTGTGTCTCTATACCAAGAGTATGTACATTCAATTAAATTAATCTCACTCACTCAGGTTAGGACTGGTAGATACTAGTGGCACTAACCTTTTTACTGCTGTTGGAAAAAACATTATCTGTTCTGCTGATAACAGGGTGAAATGAGTTTTCAGTGTCATTGGTACTTAAGAAGTGTGCTGAAGTATTCAGTTTTTCCTAATTCCTTTCCAGTGTTATCACCGCAAAAAAAAAAAAAGTGAAGGAATATGACATCATATACTTACCTTGCAGGTGGATTACATCAAGAACTCACTTATATCTTTCTTATTAAGACTAAGTCTACAAAAAAAATTATCTTTGGTTGTCTAAGAAAACACAGGCTAAGCAGATACTTCATAGCGTATTTGGTATAAACTTCATGTTGATAAATTTACTTGTGAAATCCAGGAAACTTTTTGAAATGACTTTCCAAGAGATTATCAGTGATAAAAAAGACTGAGTTTGATAGGTTTATGAGTAAGATTGCTTATATTGGGTCTATTTTAACAGGAGAGGGAGATTTTGATGGCTATTCTAATCCTGTGTTGCTGCTAGCTAAAACTATTGTTAACTCTAAGAATTATTGAATGTCAGAAGTTTGAGTGGATTAAACTTCTTCTATAACCATTTGCCAACTGATATACACCTTCACCAGTAAGCTACCTAAATAAAACTATCTAACTGCCTGTCATGCAAAGGAGACACTTGCCTATGAACACATATCTAAATCCCTTACATGTAGTGAAGCATGCAATTTAATGTAAGTGTTCATTCCAGTTTTTCAGAAATTCACATCTTCCTTTGCCGTATCACCATCTACTAATGCATTATTTCTCATTAGGTGTATATTCAGAGAATCATGAAAATGCTTACCAGTCTAAAATGCATCTTAGAAGCCATATGTGTATTGTAAAAGATTCTCTCACATTTACAGAGACGCCTGATTAAAACTGTTGATTATATGAAGAATAAACAAAATACAAACATTTTAAATGTAATTAGTTAGGAGGAAAAACAAAAAAAAGGCTTAGTTAATACATACTGCTTCCAGGGAAAATATTCTTCATTGTTTACAGTTGGTACCAAATTAGTCTTTCCATTCCCCTATTTAGTATGTGCGCTAGTGTGGGGGTGGTAGACAAAAAAGTAGAAAAGATTAATGGTTTGTTATTTTTATATTCCTTCTTTTATCCTACAGTGGTCATGAATATGACCTTCCATCTTCTTTTACCAAGTGCAACTCCAAGACTAGAAGTCACTAGCCTGAGATAATTAAAACCTGGAATCACTCGCACAAATGATCAGGTAAGAAGCTGGGGTGGTGAGCACAGATTTTTCCAGCTTGTGTTACATTGATCCTCTGTCATCAGGCTCAATTAATAGGGTTAAACAGTTCTTCAAGAAAGAATAGTGTTGGTATTTTCCATGTGAAGCAGTCACGATGAGGACTGTGTCCTCTGATACACACGATATTTAACTCACAGTGAAGAATATGTGCTACCCTTGGCTATGCCCTTTGTTTAAACTTGTCCCTTGACTTCCTTGAAATAAATAGAGCATACGAAAACACACTGGGGGTATCTTGCTAAACTCTGTGGCCAGTACAGACCTGCCAAAACTTAACCTCAAACTGGGGGTTTCTGGCTATTGGGACAATATTGTTACTAGGGTTGAGAGGGTGTAAAAAGCACGAAATGTTCCTGCCCACAAATATGCTGGAAAAGATACAAAATAAGTAAGTTTCCTAATATCCTGATCTCCCTCTCACTGACTTTTACTAATGTTTAACAGCTTCATTGTCCCCTCAGTGTTTACTGACATCAAAGATAAATTAGTGTGTTATGAGTAAAATGCACAAGAATTAAAAACAGTTGAATTACATCTCTACTTGATGCTAGTACAGTGTTGAATGACATTCAACTTATAGTTTGACCAGCTATTCTTCAAAAGTTTGAACTGTGCTTTTGACGGGAGTTTCCTAAAAAGCACTATCTAGTCCATTTATCCCTTGTTAGCTTTTAGATAGAGAAATAAAGAAAATTTTAATTAGAAATTGAGTTGTTTTCAGAATTAAAGCATTTGTTTTCAGAAGGAAAGCATTCAGGTATCATTATTGGAGGTTGGATTGAGATTTGGGGAACACTTTGACCAAAGAATGCAGCAGAAATGTGCCCTCAGCTTGCATAGGGGCTTGCTCCAGAACAGGGACTGAGGTGGAGGTTTTGCTTTCTTTTTAGTCATCTGAGATCTGCTTTAATTAATGACAGCATTTTTAATAGTGTCATAGAAAACCCTGCCCAGTTGAAAAGACAATCATGGAGAATTTTGCTTCTGCAACAGTCTGAGGTATCCCTGTAACAGCCTGGTGTCTTTAGCCCTTCTTGTCAATGCTTCCTTGTCTCTACCAGTGACATCAGAAGACTTATTATGTATTAATCTGCGCTGAAGTCTGAGCTGATAGGTATAAGGGAATGACTTTCACATATCTGCTTTATAAAGTAGAGTCCTTTCATTTTCTGAGTACGTATTTTCAGTAGCTGATCTGACAGCGTTAACCACAGTTATTTTCATTTTCGCTTTAGAGACATGGAAATGTGTGCATAAATACTGCTCCAGTGCACTGAATACACATTTATAAAGTATCACAGAGAGCAGATGATTCAACAGTCCTGGAAAATGGAAAAAGTTGCAGATGAAGTTATGAGAGAAACTTCTGTAGAACAAGGAAACTGGCAGAAATAAAAATAACACTGTCTTCTTTATCAAGGAACATTACTTCTGTATTCTCTCAATCTCAGACAGTAAAGCTGAGTGAAGCAACCAACCATAGTGCATTGTTATATATTCTTCCTTGTTTTATCGTGATGGAAAAGTAAGTAGGAGATCAGAACACTCCAAATACTGAGTATGCACTGTGTTGTATAGCATGCAACCTCTACAGCTTTGGGTTCTGGAAAGCTCTCTGAAGGACTGAGGTGTACTTAGGGTCCTCTGTTGTGAAAGCTGTTATTCAGCTGAGGCTCTCTGCAGAGAACTTCAGGTCACATAACGTTTTATACATTCTCCACTGAACATGTATAATCTACATGTTTTGTACAGTATGGCCAAGAAAAAGTGTTCTAAAATCATAAAAAATAAAAATAAAATCCACAAGATTGCAGTAATTTATGAGATTCAATTTGGAAACACTCATGCATTTGCTTTTGAGGCATTATTTCAACTTGAAAGAGGTTCTCAAGCTAAGCTTTAAGACTTTGAGAACTTTTTTTTTTTTTTTTCAGAAGACATTTAAAGAAGACATTTTCAAGAAAATGCTACATGTAAAGGGATGTGTGACAAAGTTTGAACTGGCAGCAATGTGGTGAGAACAAGATATTGCTGAAGATATGTGACCTCAGTAGAAGGTTTATTAGATCTTCAAATAAACAGCCTATCTGCATTCTGCTTCCAAATGTCTCCAGATGCAAAAGAGCCAATTTCTTTTTTTTTTCTTTTTTCTTTTTTTTTTTTTTTTTTCCCAGGATATATTACGTAGTGTCTGCTATGTAAGTATTAACCTTTGTTAATTCCTTTCATTACATTTCTGTGGTGGCTGCTTTCTTCCTAATGTTTTCTTTCTTGCTGAATTTAAAAAATATGTTTGATTTTACACTTCTGCTCCACCCACAACCTCTTGCATAAGCTAATCATCTCTTTCTTCTGTTGCTCTTTTTGCTGAATATTTCATAGCTTTGTATTTCTAATTCTTTCATACTTTTAAAAATAACATAAAAATAAAGTAAATTAAGTCCTGCATGGAGAATAGGAAAAAATAAGAAATTCTCACTGATATAGGTAAATATTATCTGATATTCCTGTTCCCAACAGGATGTGTTTTATTGAATTTGGGATGGAAAAAACAAACAAACAAAAAACCAAGAACTCATCACTGTAAGCTAATCTGAAAAGATGAAATAGGAAATAAAAGGAAGATATGTGAGATACACAGATAAAAGGCAAGACTATCAACAGTCTTATTTGCATTCTTCTTTGTTTTGAATTTGAAGAGCTTAAAAATTGCTCTCTAGGCATATATATTAAGCCTGCATTATTCAGGGATTTCATTGCATTGGTTTATATTAAAAATGTTCTTTGTAAAAAGATTTAAGAAAACAATATAATATTAGACTTTAATTTGAACAGAGCACATGAGGAATCATTAGGAAATGAGGTGAAGATAACAGAAAGGAGAAAAGAATTACTTGGCAGTGGACTGGGCCAATAAAAGATGCAATTTCATTGATTGGCCTACAGGGTACTATGAAAGAAAAAACAAATTTAGCTAAAACTCTCCCTGTGTACCCATATATACCATTTCATCTCTTAGTGATATTGAACTGTATCATATAATCTGCCTTACATCTTCTCTTTAATTTTAGTGATAATATGAACCACATGGTAACTCATAATAATGATAATGGCTGATAGAGCTCAGAAAGATCACTCAGAAATTAATTGTAGCCTTGAGATGAGATACCTGAAGGTAGGATTTGAAGAAGTGTTAAAAGCCCAAAACAAACCTTACACTTTGTCCTTTAAATTGTTCTCTCATGTATTTCAAACCCCCATTTATTATTATTATTATTATTATTATTATTTTTTAATACAGCAGAAAATATCCCATCATTTGTTGAAGACATTAAAACACTGTAATACTGTGTTTAGTCCTTAATTTTTACTCAACATGAATCCTAAAGCAACTGTGCTGCCTCTGGCAACATGCAGTGGTGCATAGTTTAAGCATTACCGTGAGACCAAGATTCACAGCTATGAGTCCTACTGTAGATTAAGGCACTTTATCAAACCACTAGTATCTGTTATGGTAGTGTTGCCCTTTTGTTCAGCAGCCTCATGGAGGAGTTTCCTCAGACAGTGGTAACAGGGGCAGCTGCAATATTTCTAGACTTGGACACCACAGGTTTCTTTTCAGCATTACCTGTGCAACTTTTGTTGGGTTAAATACAAAAGAAATTGGAGCTGTGCTCGTCCTCCCCCCACCTCCTTCCCCCCCCCCCCCCCCTCCCCCCCCCCCTCACCCTTTATCTGGGAAAACAACCAAACTAAAATCAATCGACCAGAAAAAACAAAAACAAACAAACTGACTAACTAAAAACACACCAAAAACTGAAGTAACTAGAACAGGTATTGAAGCTAACATAAAGGAAGGCCATTCTGGCAATCAGCATGTGTGTGTTAGGAGAGAGATGGTGGGATTGCCTTCATTTTGTTTCCCTCCCTACACTTCAACAGTCTGTCTAAAGAAACCGAATTAAGCTCTCATTCCACGGTTCAGTGTAGCAGACAATGTGAGAGAGTGGGAATTGGACTCAGTGTAATAGTCAGGAAACAGTCAGGAACAGTAAGGAAAGAGCCTTCTTTTTCAGAAAACGTCATCAGCATACAAGACCAAGTGAACCCAGCTGCTGGGCACTCCAGCAGGCCAAAGACTTCTGAGCTCAGACCCTGTGCTGCCTACTCACCCATTGTTGGACCCTTCCCAAAACGGGTGGGAGCAAGCAGCGCAGCCCATACTGGGTTGTGGGAGGTGGCAGAGACCAGCAATGTTGGTTTCTGGCTCTGCACTAGCCAGGACAAATTGAGATTTTTCCTATGGCAGTATCTTCTGGCATTTTGCTAGGCCTCATCCTCCTCACCAGAGTGATCCTAGTGAAAAATCACAGGCTTGGCAGCCCAGTGGTTAGTGCCCTTTTCCTCAGGCACTTCCTGGCAAGGTTCAAAACATAATCTTTCATTTAACAAGTGAATGAGTAAGAAATAGTGTGGTTAAGTTTGCCCTGCTTGTGCCACTTGAGGCCAGCTCTTAAGGAAATGAGGGACCCCTTTCATTAACTGGCTCTTGGCACACTGAAGATTACACACAGTTTAATTTTAAAGAGAGGTTGAGGAGATCATGTCTGTCCCAAATGCAATCACATTTGTGACACCCTACTCAAATACTCATTAATACATTAGTGGTTCAGTGGCCCAACTTTAATAGTACCATACATGCTAGGGGCCACCCAGCTGTAAAGCAGCTCTGCAGGAAAGGACCTAGGAGTCCTGATGTACACCAAGTTGAACATGAGCCATCAATGTGCCCTTGCTGACAAGAAGGTTAATGGCATTCTTTTCTGCCTGAGGTAAAGTATTGCCAACGGGTAAAGAGAGGTGATCCTTCTCCTCTAGTCAGCACTGGTGAGGTCACACCTGGAGCACTGTGTCCAGTCCTGGGCCCCCCAGTACAAGAGAGACATGCACATACTGAAAGAGCCCAAAGAGAACAAAAGCTGCCATGGTCTTGTGCAACCTAATGTAGGTATGCCTGCTTGAGCAGGGGAGTTGGACCAGGTGCCTCCCACAGGTCCTTTCCAATCTTACCCATTCTGTGTGATTCTGTGTATGTGATTCTAGTTCTTGATAATGTGTGCTAATTTGTAGATTTTTTTTTTTAATTGTGTAATTTTTCTCTGACCTGAATACTTAAAAAGAATAAAACAAAATAAAATCCTTCTGAAAGTAGCAAGAACTCTTGGTTAAACACCATGTTATGTTGTAACACACATCATTTTTGACAATCACTCTATATAATAGAATCCCAGGGATTAAGCAAGAATGTGAGAAAGATGGTGTGAGATTTTAAATGCATTTGTTTAATACAGTCATTAAAAGGAAATGATAACACTCTCAAGGCAAAAAAAAAAAAAACAAACAACAAACAACAAAACAAAACAAAAAAATAATACTTGTGAATATTTCACATAAGCCAAAGGTATTAGTAGTGCCTTCTAATTCAGTTAAAGACTTATCTCATTTAAATCCATATTTTTGTCCATTCTTTACTGAGGTAGTAAAATCTAATTATTAACAAGGGTGATGGAGTGCTCTGGCAACCAGCTGCTCCAGCTTCATGTCAAGTATAAGAGGAACAGTTTGGAAAGGCTCTGAGGAATATGCAGAGAAACTCTTGCTAGCATGAACACCTGACAGTATTCAAAGTGCTTCTCAAAAAGACAGATGGTTAAAGGAAAACTCCACCATAGTCAAGTAACAACAAAGAGCAGGACTAACAAGAAAATGTCTGAAGTCATACATATGGGTGGAGAAAATGAACTGCATTCAAATGGAAATATTGGGAGCAAGCAGTTTTCTAACAAACAGGCTAGTTCAAGCTAATACAACTGTAGTCAGCTGAGCTCTCCTGAGGACAGAGGGGAGTGAGTCCCCTCAGTGAGGTGAGGCAAAGCTAAAAAGTTCAAATGGAGGTTAAAGCAACTTTTTGATACGACAGCCCAGGTTGTAGCCTGCATTTGAGAACTGCATAGCTCAGCATGGGAAAGCGAGATGCAAAGGCTGCCTTACCCTGCTTTGATCTCCAGCTGACCAAGTGACCCCATCTTGTCCTTCAGCATTTGGAGCTCTCTGGGATTGGATCCTGTAGGCTTTTTTATTGACCAGGGGGTAAACTGAAAGCAGGCGGCAACGTTTTCTAAGAGCTACATGCACTACTTCCTGACTCCCCACCTGGAGTTGCCTCCCTCTCTGCTACAGTGGTGATCTCCCCCTTGTCTCTGAGGATATGACAGTGGCAACAAGGAAAACAAGAACATATTAGACACCTGATGACAATATCAACACTGCAATCTGAGTGAAGGGGAGAGCAAAAGCTGTATGATGTTCCCCCCTTGGACAGCTGCAGCAAAAACAAGAAGTTCAAACGAAGGCTACAGCACGTTTGTTTTCTTCAGTGGGGTAACTTGGAGGTAGTATGTAAATGGCAAAATCCTTTTACCCTCAAATGAGGCATTTATTCCAGCCCTACAGGCCCCAGACTGATGGACCTGAAGGAGAAGATACAATTTCCTCTAGCTCATTGATCCACTGAGAGTTTTACCTGCCAAGGAATGAGAAACCCCAGTTATTCTTTCATAGGGATCTGTACAGTTATGGGGTTTTGATATGAAACAGGTTGCAAGTATGCAAGCCTGCCAGACTTTACTACAGAAATACTCTTGATTTCTCTCAACGGATCTTATTTTCCTAAATGAGAGCCCTACAATCACTACAGTATGAGCAGAAAGAATCAAATTCTGCCAGTTATACAGCATAATGATATTGTAGTGGTAAAAAAAAAAACACAAACAACAAACACAGTGTAAGTAATTATTAATTTTCATCATTACACTAGCTGTAATAGTCTATGTTACATTGAATTTGAAGGAAAGTTGATGGAAAATTTAAATTCAAAGCTTAACATCAGAGTAGCATTTATTTTTTCCCTGCAATTTTTTGTGCATGGAGGTTGCTAATTCACACTGCTGTGCATTTCTTTTGATAGCAGAAAGGCTCATTCATGCCACTGTCTTGAATTTAAATTTAGATTGCTTATATGTGTTCATATTTTCAATTTATATTATTACATCCACTCCTGCTCTATTCTTTGTTCATTAGGGACCTCTGAACACCAGCTCGAGGAAGTTCTGTTAAATGAATCGCATGCCCTTTGCAAGAGCTCTTTGAATGACATGTGTAATTATCAACAATTAACAAGATGCTAATTATACCTTCAAATTATAATCCTACTGAGCAAAATAAAAATCCTTTATGGAAGAAAAAATTGTTAAAGGCACAACACTATATTAAACCAAATGACAAAAAGTTTGGCAACTTCTAACGGTATAAATCAAACAAACTGCTGAACACATCACACAGCTTGCCAGAATGGCTCTCTGCCAATTAGCTTTTCACTGCATATTCAATAAGTTGGGGGGGGAGGGGGTAGGAAAGTGAGGGAGGAAGAGGATTTAACTGGCATGTCACTGCTCAATCAATAAATAAAAGTCAGAAAAGCTGTAACCATTTAAACTTTGTAGTGTGTTGTCTTTCAGTCACATCAAATTCACTGAAAAGAAAGATTTGTCTAAAAGGTTTAAAGTTACAGTAGCTTTAATATATTCTACATTTGCAAGATAAACAAAAAGTAAAAGCCCCCTTGGCAATGTAATAACTTGGACACAATTTCATAAATGCTCACCATTGTACAACTCTGATTTTTTTTCAGTAATTTGCACTGACAGTTTTGAATCTTTATCCACACATGAAGATGGAAAACTTTGTAAAATTAGAGCATCTGGAATTAAAACTCTACGTGTCATACACTGTCAGTTTTTATAATGTTTTTTTTTTTTTGTTTTGTTTTTTTTTTTTTACTCCTGCTACAATGTAGCCTAAGTATGCCATTGTTTAATGCATGAGATTTAAAAATCATCAAGAACAAGCTTAGTTCTGGTATCAGATTAAAGTATTCACAATTCTGGAATTTTGTTGACATAAAAAATAAGAAAAATTGTCCCAATCTGTTGAAAACCTGAAAAAATCCAATGATTTTCTCTAACAGGAAGGAGTGCACTACCAGAGAGTAAAGCAGAGCTTTGAAATACTATTTATGTTATTTAAAATGCTTGAGTTTTGTACCATTGGTATGGTAAAAGATGTGATGTAACTCAGAAAGAAATACTATACAGAAAATTCTCCCCATAAGGTGCCACTATCAATGGTCTACACTACAAGTCTGTGTTCCTTGTAATTTGGGGCATTAAATACTAGGAAAAGAATATGTTCTTCTGCTGTTTTTATTATTGTTAGTTCTGCTGAAAATATGCAGTGAGGCATAGTTTTGTTTTTTGTGGGCGGGTTTAAACCCCCCTCATAATTTTTTTATTTTTTTCTTTTGTTCCTTTCAGTTGACAAATCCCAAAAAGGTTTATAAACCTTACCAAGAATAGTTTGCAATCACTCGCTTAGTTATATTAGGTGTGCTGGTTGGCCAAAGTAGTGGTTGGGATACATGCCATGTGGCTTCTGGAACTGTTTTCAGGTCATGAAGAGTGATCTGCAAATGCTCTAAGTCAACCCTTCACAAGCATTTGACAGGATGGAATTCACACATGGCTGATTTGCCAACCTCCACAAAAGGCTCATTAATAAGCTAATTTGTTTCCAGTGAGTACCTGAAACAGATGAAGTCCTGAAATTCAGAAATCCTTGGAAGTTGTTAGTTGTATTCTTCATTTTATGAAGAGGAATTTCCGTTGGAGCCCCTCCTTTTTTTATTTACTTCAGAAGTTGCTTCCTTTTCTACTGTGCAAAAGGATGTATTAAAACTTTTGTGTCTTAAGAGAAAGTGGAAACTACATAGAAATTACTTTAGAAGACTAATGTCATCAGTATAGCAATGGGAAATCAGATGACAGCATTTGTCATATACCATCTGTACTTAACTTCTCATAACCTATCTTATCTAAACATGGAAAGGGAAAACATTGTTTAATTTAGGACTGATACTTCAACCCTTTAATAGTCATTAATTACTTGCTTGTCTAAGAGAACATAGAGAAAAGCAGACTCATAATTAATCTAGATTTAACTTTCCAAGAAAAGACACATCCTGACTTGACAGGGTTGTACAAAGCACAGTGAAAAGTGTCCTATTCCCTGCAATTTTCTACTGGAGCCTGAAGAAGCTGATGATAGACAACTGGCAACTAATCTTTTCTATACCACCCCACATAGTAACTTCTGCTTTTCTGAGACACATTTAATTTTCTGGACTCTTTAGATCAGTATATACACCAACATAATTTTCCAAAACACATTAAACTTTATGCATTTGTTGCTTTCTCTCTCTCTCTCTCTCTCCCTCTCTCTCTCTCTCTCTCTCTCATTTTAGGTGATTCGACTACTCTGATGTGGTATGCCCGGACCAATAAGGAAAGGTAAAATAATTTCCAGTCTGAGAAACCTGAGTAATTCCCCCTTCCTCCCCCGCATTTTATTTTTTTTTATTCTTTTTCTCCAAATCCCATAATCTGCTTGTATTCTGGTAAGAAAATAGGAGTACCCTAATTTGTTGATTTACAGAAATCTGCCAATCTGCCTCTAGGCATTTTAGAAAGAGCAAATCAAGGTAAGTGTGGCATTAAGTAGTAACAGCATCCTCTCTACAGAGCAGGATATGTGTAACCATTGAGCTGGAAGTTCCCATTTCCTCAGTCTTAGTAGAAATAGAGTGATTTTGCCTTCTAAGTAGAAAGGTAAGTGTAGGAAGATTTTGAGCTCTTTTTACAAAATACAGATACTTTCCAGAAAGGGAAAACATAAAATTTTAAATATTTTTTCCCAAGAAGGAAGAGGAGAAACATGAAAGTAAAAAGTATAAATTAAAGTTTAACTCTATCAACAGAAAAAATAACAAACCTGAAGTTTAAAACAGTTGTTCAACTACTATACTGTTTATTCATAAATTGTAAATGCAGAAAAAGGAAATGTAGATCTTCCTCCCCCCCCCCCAAAAAAAAAAAAAAATGATGTATGAACACAAAAATCCCTCAAAATTTGAAATATTTAAATTACTACAAAATAACAAGAAAGAAGAACGAAAACATAGATAAACATAAAATAATAATTGAACAAGGCATATGTCAAATTAAAATATTAGGCAGCAAAAATAAGAAAATGTATTAGAGATCGTTCTGCTAAGCAACGACAAAAACAAAAACCACAACACTTTGGCAAAGTCCATCTGCTAACAGAAGTAAAAAATATAATACCAGTAAAATTCAGAGAAATAATATAAGTAGTAGTATGAATTGACACAGTACTAGTTATACTATATAAAACCACAGGCCGCAACGCAGCAAAGAACTTTAAACATGTGCTCTGCAGTTTCCCGTGATGATGTGTAGTAAGTTGAACACATTTTCCTCCCTAACTTCTTGTTTTAATAGTAAGTTCTACTTTTAAGTTACTAAGGGCTTTTCTCACAGATTTGGTGCTGGGTCACGTTATGGACATCTGCCTTTTCTAAGATTCTTGTAAATGTGTGATAAGCACCTAAGTGAAGGATCAATAAGGAAATTTATCAATGTTACTTTATTTTCAGGAATAGATGCACCAAGGAAGCTCCCCTTCTAGGTCAGGATAGCATTATATAGGGAAGACAGAATGAGTTTAGGGACTTTTATTGAGGTGTCTATCTGAACAACAAAGGAATAAATATGTCAGTTTTTGAGCTGGAAAGGGCCTGGGGGTCTGATCCAGCAGCATGCTGTCACAGCAAACATCCTCCTGGGCTGTGCTTTGAACAGCACTGTCTGCAGGCTGAGGGAGTTGATCCCCTCTCCTAGGGGGACATGGTGAGACATCTGAGGTGCTGTGTCCAGTCATGGACTTCCCAGTACAAGAGAGATGTGGAGATATCAGAGACAGCCCAGCAAAAGACCACTAAGGAACTGAAGCATCTCTCCTATGAAGAAATATTGAGAGAGCTGGGATGGTTCAGTCTGAAGAAGAGAAATTTCATGGGGGAATCTTCTGCATAAATACTTAATGGAATGATGGTGATGAGTATAAAAGAAGGAGACAGACTATTCTCAGTGACACCCAGTGATGAGATGAGGCAACAGGCACAAATCGAAGTACAGGAAATTTGATTTAAACTTTTATATATGATTACGTTTTTTTTTTTACTCTAAGGATGGTCAAACACTGGAAGACAGTTGCCCGGAGACACTGTGGAGTCTCTGTCCTTGGAGGTATTCAAAATGTGACCAGACAGAATTCTGAGCAACCTGCTCTAGGTGACCTTGCCTGAGGGGAAAGACTGAACTAGAAAGTCTCCAGAGGCACATACTCACATAAGCTGTGCTGATATTCTGTGACTGTGAGACGAAAATGAGAGAGATTTAAAGAGTACAGAGTCCTATTAGGTCAGGTTGTCTTTTCACGTGTGTGTGTAGGCATGTTCATGTAAAGGGTAATCAACTGTAAAGGACTTTCACAAATTTCTTGCTTTTGTGGAGTCCACTTACACAGCTGCTAGTTAAGAGGTTTTAGAAATTGTTTCCTCCATTTTTCATATGTATGAATGAGTAGATATCTTCATGTAGTGGGTTGGGTAGATCAAATCTCTTCTTAGATATTGTAATCACAAAGCTACTCTAAAAGTTAATAGCGTGTCATTGTTAATCTCAACAAATAAAAAGGGGGGGTGGGGTGGACACATAATCAGCAAGAGAAAAAAAAAATATATATCTATGAAAGAAAACATAGCCTTACATGAGGAATCCAATAGTACAGATGAGTAATAAAGAGTATCATGCTTCTCTTTTCGGCTCACTGTAACCTTAACAGCCAGTTAGAAAAAGGCTGGAGGAAGGGTGAGTTTGTGATACTTCAAAGCCCTTGCAAATGGCTAATTCACCTACCAAACTCATCAAGACAGAAAGCTGTAACCTCTTTAAAACCAGCTTTCAGGCACTATGTGAAAACAATGAAACCTTTATTAATGAAAAAGTGATATAGACATAACTTAAGATAATAAATAAATTCTAATCCTGTAACTTTAGAAGCCATAAATTTAACCCCTTCTCCCCACTGCCCATATGTATCTTTGAAGCAGTTCTTTCACCATACCATATTACCTGCCCATTGAACCTCTTTCATTAGAATGATAGGGGCAAGGGCATTTTTTCATCTTTGTTTTCAGAGTGGTCTTGAGGATCTAGGTGTTGCCAGCTGGCAAGTCTACCCAAATTTGTCTGATGACTAATGTGAAATTGCTTGCTAAGCCAGACTTACTGTAGATCACTCCATTCTCCTCTATCAAATATCTAACCGAATATTTCTGTATTTTATCTGTTCTGTCTCTCACAATAAAACTGAAATATTTGTGGCCATTTTTGATTTTATATTTTATTATTTTATATTATTTTAATTTATATCTGCTTGGATCTTTACTTGTCTGTGGAAACTCAATGTTACTTCCTTCCCCTCAATGTCTTACAAGCAAACCTTGTTTCTTCCTATTTAACAGTGGCTCCTGAGGTTACGTGCTAGGATCATAGGTTAACAGCTTATGCAAAGAGGAATGTCTGGCATCATGCTGCCATTTTCAGCAGACACTTTTTTCTTCTCTGTTTAGATCTGGAGTTTGGGGAATGTTTGGGTGGAAATTGTTCCAGCTCCTCCCTGAAATCCTACAGCAGGATTAAATACATACTTCTCTTAGGCTTATTTCTGTAAACACTTTATGCATCTGTTTAACAGTTGTGAGTAGTTCCACTAAACCCATAAAATTATTCACAGGAGTAAAGTCAAATGACAGAGGATCAGGGTGTGATTTAGAAGAGTGTATACAATGGTTGCTTCCCCCTATAGATCCCCCTATAATCTACTGGGGTAGGTGTTGTTTTATGCTTCTTAGTGTGTTTGGAAACTGTTTTTTTCTCTTCTGCCATTGTACTCCTGTTAATTCCTTAATTAATGTCAATCCCTTAATTATGACTGTGGAGACAGGTGCTAAATTAAATGCAGAATTCTTTTTTACATAGAGTTATACTAAATAGTTTGCAAAACCAACTATTTAAACCAAGATGAACTCAGTAACTAATTGTTTTATTTAGGAAAGTAACTGGAAAATTTAAAATAGAAAGAGAAAGTTTCTAATCTCCAGTTCCTAATTCTCCAGTTTTGAATGGATATTTTGCCTTCAGAAAAAGGAATGGTACAGTGAAAAAGAGACAGACTTCTTAGTCATATGAACTTCTGAAGGGACTGCTGTGTAAGCTACTGCTATCTGAACCAGAAAAATGTGTTGACCACAAAGGAATCAGCTATCAATTATCTCCATATGTAAGCACCACATGTAACATTCCTCTGTCTCAGTGTCTTTTTGTCATCCTTTGAAAACAGTATTTAAACTGTTTATTAATTTCCATATACATATGCATGCAAACAGGCATTTTTTGCTTTTATATGCATCACACTAGCCAGACCTGTTTAGATTTTGTTCAGCAATGTCATCTTCATCACAGAGCATTCACTATGATGTATTCATCAGTGCGTATCATTCTTGCATGATATTCAGGTAACACAGAGCCAAGAAAAAGCATGAAAAGAAATTCCACTTTTAACTTCAGGTCAACTGGCATAAGGGAGGAAGAGAAATTCTGAATCTGCTAGTACATGAAGAGCTGAATTCTCTGAAATAGTATAGAAAAATTGGGAAAATAGTAGCACAAAGTCTTGCAAAAATAACAAAGTAGAAAAGAATACATTGAAAATGAAAAATCAGAGAAATAGCATAAGTAAGGTTAATATATGTGTCAGAATACGAGCAATATTATATAGCACCAAAGCTACTAGCATCAGTCTAATTTCTGAAATGTCCAGGGTGATCAAGGAAGCTTAATATAGCAGAATACTGGGGAAAAAAAATAGAAGCAAGCTGTTAAATAAACTTTGTAATGTACATATACATTCACAGTCTCATCTGTTCTACTTAAAAACATCCTTTCATCTCTAACTTAAAACACCTATGGTGTTCCTCAGATTTCACAAAATGCTATTCAAAGGCACCCACTTTGAAGTTTGCCCTCACCAAGTGAAGACAGCTAATAACTTAGCCACCAGAAAGATAAACATGAGGTCAGAACAAAGACTGTACATTTTTTTGAAGATCTGAATATGAGGCTTGCACAAGGTTGTATGCTAAAATTAAAGGGCTTTTATTATCAAGCTGAAGGCACTGAAAATAGCTATGGGTACAGTAATGTTTGGGTGGTAAGATGTGTAAACTGAGGTTGGTTAATGCTGGCTCCACTAGTGGTTTCCTTGATTTGAAATGGTTGTGCTGATGGGAAGTGCACTTGAGCAACCTAACTGTAAATGCAGAGTTTTGGAGGTTTGGGGATTTCCTTTGGTTATTTTACTTCTTTTAAGTTTAAAGAAAGTATTTCTGATCTCTCAACATTTAAGTTCCAGCTTACCACAGTCTTCCTCTATGCTT